TTTGTAGTTTGCCGTTATTAGACATTGCTTAGTACACTGTTGTAGCTAACCTGTTCAAGAGGTAAAATAAACCTGGAAAAGGCTTTCCTTGGAGATATGAACTCTAGCTTGACAAGACCTGAAGCACAGTCTCCAAACTGAATTTAGTCTGTTTATACTTGCATGTAATAACTCCTTGGGAAGTGCTACAGGGAGGAGTTCACATCTCAGGATGTTAGAGACAGTTTCCAAATCTTAATAAGAGAATCATCACAACCTCTCTCGTGAGATTTGGGAAGTAGTCTCTCTCTGTACCTGCCTTTTAGTCTCCCAATTTCACAGATAGGCAGAGTGATTTGATTTTTGAGGAGCTCAGTATCTCAGCCACACTGTCTTTTTGGCAGAGCTTAGAACAGAACCTAAATGTGGGATTTTACAATTTTAATCTTGTACTCTAGCCATAAGGCAGTAGCCAGCGTCACTCATCCTCCCCCTTCCCACGGTCTTGCTCAACTGTAGGTCTAAAGAGGCATTTTGACATTTCCTCTGTCCTGTCCCGTTTCATCCCATCCCATCCCTCCTGGATATCCAGTTGATAGTCCAAATACAGGTTGTTTCTACCTGGGTCTTGGTACAAAGGGGGATGATGCTTGCAGAGACACAGAAGTCACAGCTTGGTCTTCTGGGAGAGAAGGGATTATGCTAGAGCAGTGTAGTCCAGGCTCTAAATAGCCTCAAGACTGAAGGTGGCCCAGAGCCATTTGTCACTTGAATGTGGCCATTGCTTGATGGATCCTACCCCCACAAAAATCTCACTGCACCTTACTGCTCAGGTTGGGAAAGTTTGGTTGCTTCTGTTCCATGAAATAAACCTTTTTATATTGGAAGCAAGATAATTATGTTGTTTGCTTATTGTTATAACTCTTCTCAAAGCTTTTTTTTTTTCCATTTGACCTTTGAAAAATGAAAGCTGACTTTTAATGAGCATGGATGTTATGAAACAGTCGATGATGCTGGTAGTCTTAACTTCTTTTTTCTCATTTGTAAATGGATCTGTTTGTTCAATGCTGTTTTACTGATTGTATAACTGTCTATTAGCAGTTGTGCAGAATGTTAAATCCTTGGGATGGAAAGTGCTCTGCAACCCTGCTGTGTGAATGTAGTGTCAGGTGGGGCTTAAAATCAGTGTGAGGTCTGCAAAGAGGACACAAGGAAGAAATGAGGGTGAGGGGGCAAAGGAACAGGCAGAGAAGGGATGTAGACAGGTGGAGAGATGGTAAAAGTGCAGGTTGGGATATGCTGGAGGAATGCATAGCAGCAGGAAAGGGTGCAATAAATTAAAGTATTAAAATTAAATTAAAAATAAAATTACTGTGTATTGGGTATTGTGGCTCAATACTTCTAAAAAAAAAAATTAAAATTTAATTTCAAGTAGGGAGGGAGGAGTTCATGACAGCAGTTAGCTGGGCAGAACAGCAGAGAATTGAACTTCAAGTAAAGTCAGAATTGGTGGTTGCTGGGTCAAGATGACCACAGTAAATTTGGAAGAAACAGAGTTAAGACTGGATAGCATTCTAAGGGTATGCTGTTGTTCAAACAGGAGTTAAAGGTTTTGTGTAGAAATTGCTGTGTGGTGTTTTGTGGACGTCTGTACTGCTAGTTCGACTAGGTCACATCCTGTGGCACACGTGACGCAAATAGCTCTGGTGTTGCACGTGGCATTGGGGGTGGGGCAGGCAGTGCAATGACTGGTAAGTCAGGGAGCAGACAGAAGAGCAGCAGATTGGGGAGGGGACTGGAGTGGCACTTGGGCATGATTTGGGGCTTAATTTATGGCATGCCTGCCAAAAAGGTTGGCGGACAGGCCATGTCGCGAAGGCTCTAGGTGTGCCCAATGGAATATTTTTACTCTGAATATCCAGGAAGTGGTAGCCGATAATTGAAATAATGTGGCAGCAACTTTTAAACTAGCAAGTCAGATGAAACGAAATGGGTCATTTGTGTGGGCAGAATAAAATTTAAAATGGTCCCAACTGGTTTTAAAGGCTGCACTTTACTTTTATGCACAAACTCTTTTAACTTTGAACACATCCAAGAACAAATTGTACCTGAATCCTGCAGTGATCCTGTGCGCCCATCTGGAGTCCTCATTGACACCACTAAGCCAGAGTACGGGGCCGTAGTTTGCCTACGTGGAGTTTATTGCCGGTCAGTGTTTTAGTCTATGAACTCCAAATGTGCTGGGTCTTGGGGATGGGGATGTAGAGGCAAGACCAGGAAGACTAGGATGTGACCTGGATGCTTGTATCATAAAGGAAGAGTGGAATCCAAGATGACACTGATGTTACTGGCTATACCGACTGGGGAGGAGGGGGGAACAGCAGTATAAATAGTGTGGAATACAGAGAAGACTTGGGAAGGGAAGTAGAGCTTGGTTTTTAACTGCCTGAAGTTTAAACTGATGGTTGACATCTTGGTCTCCAGGGTGTTGTTGTTGCCTGTCACTGACTCATTTTTTGGCTCTGAACAAGTCATTGGACCATTGTGTCTTGAGTTTGGCCATCTGTAAAATGAGGGAGTTGTGAAGTTTGCCTAACGTTCATAAATCATGATGGGATTCTTGGATAATGGGTGTTATATAAATGCACAACAGAATTTCTTTTCCTTTGGTGGGAACATATTATGTCATCTTGGAACTTTTTTCAATTAGTGTTTCCATTTTACTTTAAAATTGAGTATTAAAATCTCATCAATACATGTAACCAAATACAGCATGTGTTATATATGCATTTTGGCTTTGTAATTAGGCAGAGGTCAGTAGTAAGGACCTATATTGATTTTTATAGAAGTAACGTTGCAAACAAACTGGCCATCACTAGATGGCAGTCGATCTCCAATTTTAATAGTAGTTTATAGTCAAAGTTTGAAGGAGGTTACTATGCAGTAAACCCACCAGCCTTGATACTATGACACTATCCCAGCTTTTGTAAATTTGAAGTTGGTCCCTTTCAGATGCTTTATACTAATGGAAGAAATTAGCCTCCACCTCAGTGCTAGATATATTGTGAACTCTGTTGGCTTTGCCTTTTGACTGATCTAGCATGCTTGCTTGCAGTATGTGAAGTTGGACTAGTTTTTAAAGTTTTTTTTAATTAATGCAAGTAAGGAAAGAACCCTCATGCAGGTGACTGTTGGTGTGACTCAGGTTGTAAGAACAGACTTTCTTAAAGATTTTTACTCGGGTTTGGCCCTCAGCACTAAGTCCCAATTTGTCCATGGCGCCTCTTTTTTACTGTGGAGACTGTCCTGAATGCAGAGGATGAAATGGTCAGAAGTAATGTCTGATTCTATCAGATAGCAGACTTTTAACCCTAAATCAATTTAGTACCTTTGAAAATGAGCCACAATAATTTTAAAATGCCTTCGAGGAGCTATTTAGTTCTGATCTCTAAAGGGTTGTTTGTTAGATCTGTTCACTATGGAAAGGCTTCTATATTTTTATAGCCTGTTTTTGATTATATTTTCATCTTGGATAATTATGCTTGAAAGCTAGGAGAGCAGTATTGTAATTAAAGCAGCTGGGGTCTCTGAAATTTAATTTTTAGCAAACTAGGAACTTTGAGTCCTCAAAAATTGACCATAAGAGAATCCATCAAAGCTAGGCTTAGAATTTAGATCTGTCTTATAGAGGAAGTCCTGTGCATTATGCAGTTTTACAGAAGGTTTTTTTAGATTATTATTATTATTCTGCATGCCCTAGAAAATGATTGTAATTTACAGTAAGAAAAAGTTTTTCATACATTGCATCATCAACCTCAATCTTTCTGGAATATCAGCTGCTTACTTGGCTACTGAGACCCTCTGTTTGCCATGCAGAGGCAGGTGGAAGTCTTGCACACTTTTTCTTCATTCCTATGTATGTGAATTCAGGGAAAATATTTAATTGATCAATCTAGAGACTTTCTGTAATGTGATGGCTGTGTTTAAAGCTTCCCCCCAAAGAACCCCTTCCTGGTGTGCATTGCTTTGAACTTGGAAGGACTTGTGTGGTAACGGGGCAGGGATTTAAACCTTTTATACTTTGTTCATGTCGGCAGCAGAGATGACTAGTTTGTGACAGCAGACATAATGGGAAGGCTACATTACTAAGACACTAGGGCTAGGGACAGAAATTTAGATGCAGACTCGTTTAAGTGATCAGAAACCAGTTCAAATCTGTAACGCAACAGAAATTTAGTGCACGTAAACCACTTTCAAAACGACTAAAACCAGTTTAAGATAAACTTAGGTGGATGTAGTATCAGACTTCATTGATTTTTAGGTTAAATTGGTTTATTGAACTTCTGTCCCAGATCCGCTCCAGAGTCAAGTGAACTTAGTCCCGTAGAATCCCAGGATGCTTTGCACTTCCCCTGCAAACCTGCTCTCGTAGGGCGGGTGGGCTAGTGTTGGCCCAAACTATCTGCTTTACCCGAGCAGGGAGGCATGCTCTAGCATCCCCCGGCTTCTGGCCTGGGCCATGGCAGGCAGGTGGCTGCGTTTCTGAAATCAGACGTGGATGTCTGTTCACTTGCTTATCAATTTAATCTACACAGTTTAGACTAGCCTGGAGAGATTGATTTGATTCAGCCTTGGGCTTTCTGATCGTCTGTCCTTGGCGCAAGAGTTGGATGTAAACTCCTTTACTTTTATAAAGGCAACCGTATGCCATTGAATTAATAGCCCTTTGTAGTCAACTGCTGATGTGACTGAACACCAGCTAGAGGTGGAAGCCTCCCTATATGGTTACAAATGGGATTGTGTTAACCTTTTGAAATATTCTTTAATGAAATCCAAATGCCTGGCTGGTAGGGGAAGAAAAAAGAAAAGGCTATATGGGGCCAGAAACATTCATACCCAGGGGTTTCAAAAAAGTAGGCTTCTTGACTTGTTCTATACAGAGGTGAGAGGTTGCTTTTAAAGACTTGAACTTCATGTGTCTGTTCTCTCTGACATCAGTGGGTGACAGGCATTTGCAAATTCTCTTTTAGGTCTGTTTACGATGGCGAAGAGCATGGCCGTTTCATGGAAAAACTGGAAGCCCGAATCCGAAACCACGACAGGGAGATCGAGAAAATGTGCAACTTCCATTACCAGGGCTTTGTGGACTCTATCACAGAGCTGCTGAAAGTTAGGGGTGAAGCTCAGAAGCTGAAGGTGAGAGTTTTTGTAAAGGGGTAACTTTCCCTACACAGTGAGGAGTAAGAAGTTTAACTACAGGGGCAGTGCTAAGGTGGCCGGGCCTCCTCGTGTAGACACATGGTTAGATTTTTTTTTTAAGAGGGTCAGAACTGGAACCAGGGCAGTTAAAGTCCTTCAACTTCTTGGGGGGCTGCACTGTTGGGATATCAAAGTTAGTAACTAGCCAGGCACATGGTTTATTTCAGCCCGAAGATTTCATCTCTAGCAGTACATTTCCCTCCTGGGACACAGGCTCATCATGGTCTCCTTATGATGCTAATAATAACACCAAGTATGCTTTTGCCAAAGATGTAAAAACTCTGTGCGTGTGTTTTTACATCTTTGGCATATATATGTAGGAGGAGAGCATCAGAAGAAAGCCATAAAAGTATTTAAACTTCTGCTCTTCCTTTCACTTATACAGTGTGGAGAATGTGGCACTTTTGATGGGAGTCTTGCACCTTGTCTGGATCCTCCAGATCCTTTATCAATCCAGGCTGACTTCTGTTGTCTACTTCTGTCCTCCACCTTGACTGTCTCTCTTTAAATGGGAAAGGATTAATTAAGAAAAAACTAAAAAAACAAACAAACCAAAAAACTAAAAAAAAAAAAGTACCACGTTCCATAAATAAAAGGATGAAGTAGTAAGCTGAGCATTCTGTAAGCCAGTCTCGTGAGCCCCTCTTCTTGTTCTTCATGAAAACCTTACTATTATTGTCAGCCCTTTCCGTGCTTTGTATACCGATTTATAAATTCTTTGCTGAAAAGCTTTGAGCACATCTGATTTGATGTAGAAATTGTATTGTGCTGACTGGATAGACTGATTTAATTTTTTTCTGTGGTTGTAGTTCTAAAATCCTCAAAACCAGGCAAGGACAGCATGTATCCCTGTTTGTGGTGTTTAGTAGAGAGAGATGTGGGATTTTTTTTTTTTAATGGAGGTCTTGTATGGAATTGGCATTATATTGGGAGCCGTTTTTAAATTACCCTGCATGGACTCACTCTTTGGTGGGATTTTTAGGGCATAGGGAAATAAAATAATCTTCAGAGGAGATGCTTTGCTCCTGCCTGTAAAATGTCAGTGCATCGTAAAGGAAATGAGCAGTTTTTGTGGTGGGCGGGCGGTCTGCCAGGAGAGCAGAAGTTGCTGCAGGAGGTGGGGTGCCGCTGTGCAGATGCTCTGGTGGTAGTGTCTTTCAATAAAAAACAAACAAACCCAAAACGGCAACAACAAAAACTTGAAGCTGAGGTGAATCCTCCTCTCTGTGAACATACTGGGCTGCTGGTCACAAATGGGAGCAGTGTAATGTTTCGGTAGCCAAGGGGCAAGGTAGCTTAGGTAACCAATATTGGGATGCATGTCTCTGGAAGGGACTTGCAGAGATCACCTCGTCCAACTCTCTCTCAAGTAGGAGCACCCCTATCTGAACTATTCTATACAAATCCATTGTCTAACCCGTTAACAAAATGCCATGGTCAACCCTGACACAATCACAAGGCATAACACCCAAATCTGCCACAAGCAAAGCAGGGGGACCATGGTGGCCAATTCCTGTTGCTTCAAGGTTGTTAAAAGGGTTTTTGGTTGTAGCTGTGTTGGTCTAAGGACACAAGCAAGCCAGGTGTTTTAGGCAGAGGTGTATCTTTTATTAGGCCAACTGAGTAGTTGGAAAAAAAATTGTTAGCAGGCTTTTGGGTGCACTTACCCTGCTTGGAGTCTCAGCAGAGACTTCCTATGCCTGAAGAAGGGTGATTGCACCCAGAAGCTTGCTAAGAACTTTTTTTCCAACTACTCAGTTGGTCTAAAAAAAAAAAAAATCACTTCTACTCAAAGAACTCTGTCTGCCAAGGTTGTTAAAATACACTTGAGAGATCTGAGGAGGAGAACCACACCCCCTGCACCAGAAGTAGGCAAAACCCCCACAGTCCATACCAGTATGACTGTGGGGTAAAATTCCTTCCTGATCCTAAGTATGGTGATCAGTCTGACCCGAGTGGAGAGGCAAGTGCTAGCAACTTATGGGTTTGAGTCCCAGCAGGACCCAGTGGCTCATTTTGGTCACAACCCCCAGCCTTAGCTGCAGCCACCACCTAATGGTTATGAAGAAAGCTTCAAATGAACAAAAAAAAGTCCGTGCCCCCCCCCCCAACCCTTAAAATCATGTAGCAGTAGGAGCCTCCCAGCCCCATGTGGCAACCAACAAAACCCAGAAGGATGGGCTTCAAATGTTTGAAGACTGGTATCATGTTCCCTCTTTTCCACCAGCTGAACATACCCATTTTCTTCAGCCGCTCCTCACGTGGCTTGCTGTCCAAGCCCTTGATCATCTGTGTGCCTACCTCTGGACTTCCTCTAACTTGTCCATGTCCTTTTTGAAATGTGGCTCCCTAAACTGCATGTAGTACTCTAGATGAGTCCTAAGTAGTGCCAAATAGAGGCACTATCACCTCCAGTGTCTTGCACCTGATTCCCTTGTTGTTGCATCCCCAAACCGCATGTGTCTTTTGTACAGCTGCATCGCACTGCAGGCTCGTATTGAGTCTGTGATCTACCAAACTTCCCAGATCCTCCTTTTTATGGAGCTGCCATCCAGCTGGGTATTACCCACTTTGTATTTGTGTTTTTGGTTATTCTTCCTGAGGTGCAGCATCTTGCATTTGTCAGCACTAAACTTCATCCTGCTAGCTCCAGCCCCACTTTCCAATCTGTCTTGGTCCTTCTGAATTATGCTCCTGTCCTCCAATGTGTTTGCAGTCCTTCCCAGTTTCATGTTGTCTGCAGACTTGCTCAAGTTGCTTTCTATGCTAGCATCCCAATCATTAAGCAACACAGTGAACAGCACCAAGCCCAGTTCAGTGGGCTCCACTCAATCTCCTGCCATTCTGATGTGGATCCACTTATTACCCTTTGCTTGTGGCCACTGAGCCAGGTATCTCTCCTCCTTTATAGTAGTCTTGTCTAGCCCATGTGTCTTCAGCTTGTTTGTGGGAAGGTCGTAGGAGACCTTGTAAAAAGCTTTGCAGGTACATGATATTAGATGCAGGTGTAGCAGTGGACATAGCCTTCCTGGACTTTCAGAAGGCCTTGGACACTGTCTCTCACCCCGTTCTCACTAAGAAACTGGGGAACTGTGGTGTTGACACCCACACAGTCAGATGTGTCGCCAACTGGCTGGAGGGCCGCACCCAGAGAGTGGTAGTGGACGGGTCATTTTCGATGTGGGGGGATGTGGGCAGTGGGGTTTCCCGGGGCTCGGTCCTCAGGCCCGCACTGTTCAACCTCCTCATCAGTGACTTGGACGAGGGGGTAAAAAGCACCCTGTTCAAATTTGCAAATGGCACTAAGATGTGGGGGGATGGGGGCATGCTAGACAGGAGGAGTAGGCTGCAATCAGGCCTAGACAGGTTACAGGGGTGGGTGGATGAGAATAGGATGGGATTCAACACTGACAAGTGCAAGGTGCTGCACCTGGGGAGGAAGAACCAGCAGCATACCTACAGGTTGGGGAACTCCCTTCTCGGCAGTGCAGAGGTAGAAAAGGATCTTGGAGTCATCATTTGACTCCAAGATGAACATGGGCCGGCAGCGTGGGGATGCGGTCAGGAAGGCCA